GGGAAAAGTGTACAGTAGAAATGGCACCTTTGGTTAAGTGTCCACCAATTTTTCTTCTAATTTCTTTATAATTGTAGCCTTGCTCACTTAATAATACTATTTTACATCGCTTTCTGGGCAACCAGTCAACTCTTTGCACCGTTCCTTTAATTTTATTACATTTTACAAGCTCACTAAATGAAAGAACACAAAAAACCCCAACCAACTTGACAGCGATCACACAACACACTGACAAATGTCCTCCTCTCAGCTTCAACACAGGACATCAATCACTGAATCCTACTGCGATCTGATTGGCTCATTGCCAAAACTAGATGATGCCTGATTAGCTCTCTAAACACTCACACTCATTGGTTACAATCAGATGAAGGAAAGCTCCCTGATATCAACCTAAGCAAGTTGTGCCTCCTTTTTCTGGTTATTTGGCTATAACTTTTCATAGGATACACTACATATAATTGAACAAACTTCGTTGCATTACATTCTTGATTAAATTATCTTTCCACTGATATATAATTTTATGGTACTATTCCGCCAAAAAGTGGTGTTATTAGCCATCAAGCCTCAAAAATACACTTTTTCCAAAAGGTTTCCACAATTTTGGCTACTACTGTATATTCTATTATGCGTTTCCATTGCCTATGGCAAGTCCTTTTTTCTCTTGCACCTGTTCCATAAGGACTCCTAAAGCAGGTGCCTTACCTTGCCTTTTGAACGTTACCTTTAATGACTCCGAACGGCTCCCTACTTCTACAGCAACCGTCATCAATTAGGATTTCACCCAAAAAGACTAAAAAAAAAAACCATCAGGGAACCAATGACGTTGAGCAGAGCGCATATTTCAGTGACAGCCGCCAGCAGCTTCTGAAGCCATGAGACAAATCTGGAAAATGGCTGAGCTATTTTAAACAGAAAGAGCTCCATCTACTTCCAGCGCTTTTGAAGGGTCCCCCACAGCCATGCCGGTCACACGGACGCTACCATGACTTCAGAAGAAAGTGAAATCAATCTTAATTTTTGTGATAATGGTTTGTAAGGTGTTTGTACAGGGCTTAAACTTTATGTACAACAAGGTCAGAAACAAAAGAAATGATAGACATGATAGGAGAGTATTTCCTTCTGATACACTTATTATCCTTGGGAAAGGACCAGACATGAATTTGAAAGAGAAAAAAAAAAACCAGATAATGTTTGAAGGCAGATAATAACAGAATCATCGGAATAACAGAATAACAGGATTGGAAGGGACCTTGGAGGTTTTCTAGTTCAACCCCTCATCAAAAGGAAGTCCTATATCATTTCAAACAAATGGTTGTCCAGTCTCTTCTTAATGAGTGAGTAGGCATATATACCTGTAAAAGGGTCAATAGCATCTTCATGTTTACTGCTTCAAATTCAATTAACCAGTGGAACAGCTTGGCTTCAGAAATCGTGGGCACTCCATCACTGGAGGTTTTTAAGAAGAGACTAGACCAGTGCTTCTCAACGTTTGTGTGACGGCGACCCCTGTCACACAAACGTTCTGTGCATGCGCGGCGCCGCGCGCATGCGCAGCACCGCCCCCACGCGCGACGCGCATGTGCGACCCCCCCACGCGACGTGTGTGCATGGCACCGCCCCACGCGCAACGCGCATGCGCGGCGCTGCCCCCATGCGCGGCGCGCATGCACGGCGCCGCGAAAAATGGTGGATCGCCACCTTTGGCGACCCCTGAAAAATGGTCGATCAACCCCAAATTGGGTCGCAACCCATAGGTTGAGAACCGCTGGACTAGACAGAAACTTGTCTGAAATGGTAAAGGTTCTCCTGCTTGAGCAGGGGGCTGGACTAGAAGACCTCCAAGGTCCCTTCTATTCTATTCTATTCTATTCTATTCTATTCTATTCTATTCTATTCTATTCTATTCTATTCTATTATTCTATTCTAATTCCATCCCATTCCATTTCATTATTCTGTTCCGTTCCGTTCCGTTCCGTTCCATTCCATTCCATTCCATTCCATTCCATTCCATTCTATTCTATTCTATTCTATTCTATTCCATTCTATTCCATTCCATTCCATTATTCTGTTCTGTTCCGTTCTGTTCCGTTCCGTTCCATTATTCTATTCTGTTCTGTTCTGTTCTGTTCCGTTCCGTTCCATTCCATTATTCTATTCTATTCTATTCTATTCTATTCTATTCTATTCTATTCTATTCTATTCTATTCTATTCTATTCTATTCTATTCCATCCCATCCCATCCCATCCCATCCCATCCCACTCTACTCTACTCTACTCTACTCTACTCTACTCTACTCTACTCTACTCTACTCTACTCTACTCTACTCTACTCTACTCTACTCTACTCTATTCTAAAATCAAATATTTATTGTGGTCATAGACCAGCATGATGGTGATGGTGATGACAATGTTATCCATTCAGTCATGTCCAACTCTTGATGTGTCAGAACTGCCATCATTCACTTGAGCTTCACGTTCACTAGTCTGCCATGAACTATGGAGGGGGGAGAGATCCGGTTAGCAGGGTGAAAGGCTAACTACTCATCATGCCTTCCAGAGACACCATCTCAAGGTCCATCTCAAAACACTGGCAATGGAATGTAACAGCTCACCAACCAGCCTGCTGTTGAAGGGACAGTTCCCAAAACAATTTATTCGAAATTGGAGGGAAGGAAATGGATGGGGAAAATTAACCAGGAAAGTTTGGCATGTGAACTTCAGTCCTGGCTTTGCTATACTGTAATCCACTTGGCCTTTATGGAAAGTAAACTTTTCACAACAAATGGAGTCAAGAGTCATTCTTACTTAAGGGACCAAGCTGGGGCAGGACTGACAGGATGATTCTATGGGCCAGGTGTCTCCACATCTTCCGATCTTGCACTACATCTTTGAGTTGTTCTGCGCTTTGACTGGTGTCAACTTTGATGGCACCAACATAACTCCATTCTTCCTTTAGCACAAATTATCCCCCTCTTTCCATATGTTTCTGCCACTTCTCCCTACATTTATGGATGAAAATTGCAGTTCATTAGCTCTGACATTCTGTGCGAACACTTTTCCCGGAAAAAGCTTGAGGGAAATATGGCATACATTATTTGGTAGACTTAATTCTGCTCCATCAGAGCTGAAATGGCAGTGCAAAAGTGTAGCTCATATGGAAAAAGACCAGAGACATTTTTTTTTCCAGCTCATCCATTAAGGAACCTCTGCATATAAAATGTACTTTTAATCTATGCGTCAACGCAAAATTATCCCTTTGTGATCAAAACTTTGCAAACAATTCTTTCAGGCAGGTGTGTGGGGGGGGGGGTTTCAACCTCTCAAGTTGTCTAGAAAGAGTGCAGAGAAGAGCAACAAAAATTATCAGGGGACTGGAGGCTAAAACCTATGAAGAACGGTTGCAAGAACTAAGTCTGTTTAGTTGAATGAAAAGGGCCAGGGGTGACGTGCTAGCAGTGTTCCATTATCTAAAGGGTTGCCACCAAGAAGAGGGGGTCAACCTATTCTCCAAAGCACCTGAAGGCAGAACAAGAAAAAAAATGGATGGAAACTAATCAAGGAGAGAAGCAACCTAGAACTAATTTCCTAGCAGTGAGAACATTGAATCGTTGTTCTCCAGAAGTTGTGACTGCTCCAACACTGGCGGCTTTTAAGAAGAGACTGGACAGCCATTTGTCTGAAATGGTATCAGGTTTTCTGCTTGAGAATGGGCTGGACTGGAAGACCTCCAAGTTCCCTTCCAACTTTGTTATTCTGTTATTCATTCTCTCTTCCTGACCTCTTCTAGTAGTGTTTTCAGGAAGCAACAGAAATAATAATAATAAAAAAGGTCTTTTTCAAACAAACAATTACAGACAAAAAAACTGAGTGGAGAATAACTACTTAGAGCAGTGGTTCTCAACCTGTGGGTTGGGACCCCATTTGGGGTCGAATGACCATTTCATGGGGGTTGCCAAACAATGCAGTCCACCATTTTTCCCCCTTTTCCTTAGCTGTGCTACTCCCTTTTATTCTATTGGCTTTTGAAAGCCAATAGAATAGACTCTCTTGAATAGAGTCTAATTCAATTGGCTTTCAAAAGCCAATAGGAATTGTCCAGGCTGTCTCTGCCCTGCCGAGCCCGCCAAAAGTCCCATTCTGCAAACGGTGCTGCACCGGTTGAGTAGTCCTTGACTTACGACCGATTGGGGGTCGCGGCATTAAAAAGGTTGAGAACCACTGACTTAGAGAAAAGATTGCTAGGCACCCAAAGTTGTTCATATTTAGAGCTCCTACATACAGTAGTGACCAAAATAGTGGAAACCTTTTTTGGGGAAAATGTACAGTAGAAATGCCACCTTTGGTTAAGTTTCCACCAATTTTTTCTTCTAATTTCTTTATAACTGTAGCCTTGTTCACTTAATAGTACTATTTTACATCGCTTTCCGGGCGACCAGTCAACTCTTTGCACCATTTCTTTAATTTTATGACATTTTACAAGCTCACTAAATGAAAGAACACAAAAAACCCCAACCAACTTGATATCGATCACATAACACACTGACAAATCTCCTCCTCTCAGCTTCAACACATGACATCAATAACTGGATCCTACTGTGATCTAATTGGCTCATGGCCAAAACAAGATGACACCTGATTGGCTCTCTAAACACTCATGCTCATTGGCTACAATCAGATGAAGGAAAGCTACCTGATCTCAACGTAAGCATGTTGTGCTTCCTTTCTCTGGTTATTTGGCTATAACTTTTCATAGAATACAGTACAGATAATTGAACAAACTTTGTTGCATTACATTCCTGATTAAATTATCTTTCCATTGATATATAATTTCATGGTACTACTCCAAAAAAAGGGGGTGTTATTAACCATCAAACCTCAAATGTACTCTTTTCCCACCATTGCGGCCACTACTGTAATTCATCAACGAAGTGTCAAAGTTAGCATTTAACATACTAATGCAGAAATCCATCAAAAAGTAGGGAAAAAAAGGTTTTTTTTACCAGATAATTTTCCTTCCTTACAGCTGGCCGGTCCACAAATCCCAACAATGGGTCTTTGGCCTCTCCCTTGCTGTTCTGGAGAAAAATTGGATCTGTGAGTTAAAAGAAGGAACATGCTATTTGACCCAGCCCAACCACCCTTTTGTAGCTATTTTTTTAATTGTTATTTTTTTTTTAAAAAAAAAATTACAACAGTCATTCTTAAAAAAAAACAAAAAAAACCTCATAAATGTAAGCCATGCTTGATATACCACATGGATCTTGAATGGTCTGAAATCTGGAAACGGTTTACAAATTTGATGCATTTGCTTTATGGTTATTTGTTTTATTTATTTATTAAATTCGCTTGTCGGCGAATTTAACATTAAAAGGAAACCATGAATATATGTATAAATATATAACACAGGGGTCTTCAAAGTGAACCCTTTTATGACTTCTGGACTTCAACTCCCAGAATCCCTCAGCCAGGCACGCTGGCTGAGGAATTCTGGGAGTTGAAGTCCACAAGTCATAAAAGGGCCAAGTTGGAAGACCCCCGCTATAACATCACAGTAAACGTAAATTCAACGTCTGTGACAATTTCACAGTTTCACTCAAAAGTCCTTAGCTTCCATTAGTTTACTTCACCGAGCTTTGACTTTGGCGATGCAAAATTAAAATTCTACTATGTTTAGTAGTAAATGAATGAGCTTTTTTTTTTGTTTCCAAATTTCAAACCAAGACATGCCTTCATTTCATGTCAGAACAAAATTTCCAAACCCATTACAATTTTTAATTTGAAGATCTCTCCGTACGTGTTTCAGCATAAAATATGGTGGATATTTCACCGGGCTCATTACCAGCAAAGAACAGATCAAAAGAAACACATGGAGTTCTATTTGATTCCATCTACTCTGCTAAAAATTTATAACTTCCACTTGAAGCTTGCATATTCTGCTTGGAACACATTCCAAGAGCCATTCTTCATCATGTTGATTAATCCAAATTTGACAGTCTTCGCTGGATTTATGGCAATGCCGAAGCAAACAAATAAGTTTGAATGGAGGATATCTTAATCTCCGTTGATTGATTTGCAGCTGAGGTCTTAATGTGAACAGGAGTGAAACTCTTACACAAACCCATTTTGTTCAACATCTATTAACTGAAATATCAAATGAAATATTTGAACATGTCCTAGAACGTTGTAGTAGCCATTTGGAATATACTGGCTGTACTACACCATGTATTCTTCAGATATGATTTACTGAATATAGCACATCTGGATCCTATAATGCACAGAGTGATGAATTATAGCTCAGTGATGGTGAACCTTTTAGAGACCGAGTGCCCAAAAACTGCCCCCCGTCCCTGCTCCGCCTCCCACCCTGCCTGCTCTGCCCCTGCCCGCCCCACCCACCTGCAGGGCCACTCACCGCGCCCGTGGCCCGCTGCAGATTACCCAGGCAGCCCTGCAGCTCCATGGCAGCCACGCCCTCCACCCACACCCCTCAGCATCATCTGCCCGCTATGGGGTGCGAGGGTGGAGTCTTGTCCCTGTTGCCCAGCTATGTACTTGGCTGTGCTGCTCCGTGTGGGCCGTGCCCGGGAGTGACTGGGGGGCTGCTGGTGAGGAGAGGGCCACAGGGGAAGGTGGGGCTGGGGCAACGGCGCATGTGCCAAAAGAGAGGGCTCCGAGTGCCGCCTCTGGCACATGTGCCATAGGTTCGCCACCGTTATAGCTCATAAAGCATAAGCCCAAATCAAAAGACCTATGGTCTAGAGAAGAGCTATACTGTCATTGCATAGTAAAGTTAGGGCTTTATATGAAGGTGTTTTTAATAGAGTCAGGTTTGTCTTGTCATTCAAAAGGCCAAACTTATTCTCTGTTCAATATATTAGAAAGGTTACCTTGCCCACCACTTCTATTCAACCTGAGGAAATTTAGTGTCCTAATAGCATTAGATGACATGCCTGAGGAAATTCTCTGTCATCCAAGTCATAGTTATCCCAAAGGTGTTTTTTCACGAGGCAACTGGACTTTCTTGTTTACCTTTGAAGAGGTTTTGCTTCTCATCCAAGAAGCTGTTTCAGCTCTGAAGAGCTAAAGAAGCTTCTTGGATGGGAAGCAAAATTGTCTTCAAAGAAAACAGTTGCCTCACGAAAAAGCACCTTTGGGATAACATTAGATGACACGAAAGTTGCAGACAGTGGAACAATCCTGTTACTGTACGTCAGGGTTTCTCAACCTTGGCAACTTTACAATGTGAGGACTTCACCTCCCAGAATTCTCCAGCTTAAACTTGTCAAGGTTGAGGAACACTGCCATAAAGTAACACCAAGATTAACATAGTTATGATGGAGTTCTAGGCTCACTCAAGCTGCTGGTGATGACTTACAATGCCCTACGTCAGGGGTAGTTAACCTTGGCTTTTTTATGACTCGTGGACTTCAACTCCCAGAATTCCTGAGCCAGCCATGCTGAGGGGAAAGGGAGAGGTTTCCAAGCTGAGCCATGCTGGCTCAGGAATTCTGGGAGATGAAGTCCACAAGTCATAAAAGAGCCAAGGTTGACTATCCCTGCCCTACGTGATGTCCTGATTACATCAGAAACCAAATGTCTGATAAGAACATTGTGAGAGGTCCTCACACCATATAAGATTAGAGGACCACCCTCTCTGTGTGGCTTCTGTCTTTCTTCTCCTGAAAAGTTCATGAAGACTTTCCTGCTCGTCATTCTATAAAACTATCAAAACAAGTTGGTTCAACACCTAGGTCTGAACTAAACATTTATGTCAGTCATTTGGGAAAGTTGAGTGTCTCTGTGATCTTATGAACTGGGGTTTTTCTTTGTTCTGCTATTCAGAGTCTGTAGATAGGGGCAGATTGCAAAGACCGTGACATAAATAAATAATTTCCGTGGTTGATTTAACAGTATCCTTTGGCTCCATCCTGCTATTCACCTTTACGTATGAGTTGTTAAGCCTCATAACAAGGAACACACCTCCCTAGCTGAATACTGTAGTGTCTATTTTGCTGTGGAAATATATTGCTGTTTTAATCAGTGTTTGATCTCAAGGCCAAACAACATGTTACATGAGAGATTCATAATCACAAGCGAAAAAGAAAACCCAAGAAGAGTTGTTCCATTTCTTGAAACAAAACAAAACAGAAATAAAGGCAATTAAAAAAAAATAACTCAGTACTCCCAGCTGTCCTTACTCACATGGAAATTGAGCTGGATATACCCCTATTTTTGCATTTTAAGGCCAATATGATTGAAACAAAGCTGCATTGATGGACGCTTACAGATTTTGCATAATAGATACCAGTCTCTTTTAAAGAAAGCTTTCACTTCTTGTGGGTGACAAACAAACAAATAAATAAATAAATAAATGCAAGTGGTTCTTTTGTTCCTCTGTAAAGAGTTACTGCCTAAAAATGTATTAATAACCTTTCTGTGATTAGATCTAAAAAAAGTAAACCGCGGCCAGCATTTTTAAAGCCCGCTTCATTGTATTTTAGTGATTTAATTTGTGAATGTATCTAAGGGAAAACTGAAACACTGCTTTATGTACTTTCTCAGAAACAATAGGATGAAAAAAAACCAAACATTATTTCTGAAACATCCTTATGCCGAACATAGGATGTGCTATTGCTTAGTAACCAGCCTCTTCCTTATGATGCTCCACAGGCCTGTCTGCTAATGAAAACACATTGTTGATGCTCACCCAGTTTCCATTAGGCATATTAATTGGCAACTGGCACTTTCTAAAATGGAGGGATAGCAACATGATGAATGATATAGCTATGACAGCATACGGACAGTATTAATTATAGGACATTAAGGTATTGACTAATGCAACTCTGTCCACAACAGGGAAAGCATTAAGTACATGACTCTTCTTCTTTTTCTTCTTCTTTTTTTGTGTGTGGAAAGAACAGAATAATACAATCAATGAATAGAGAAGTATTCTTGGCTGTGAAATCTACTAAGCATGCTAACTGTCAATATACAGAAATCAAGGTTCTGACACAGATAAATAGTTTCCATTTACCATCGTCTTTCTTCAACCCTGTTCTCTTTGCTTTTCACATACAAATCTTTAGTGGGAACCCAAATCCTTAAATTTAAGCCATTTTGAGATCCTGGCAGAGCAGCACAGAGGGTGACCAATTGATCCATTGCTATCTTCTGCTTAATTGACTTTGCCAGGGTTTTAGTCACAAATAACCCAGCCTTGTATCATGGTAGGCTCGGGCCACACAACGATGGCAATCCAAGGAGTATTTTTACCCCTATTTTGAGATCCCCAACATTTTCATTTAGTTATAATTCCGAGATCTTGTTGGGAAACTACTCAGAAACTCCTCCCCCCCCCCCAAAAAAGGATTTTCTGCATGCTTTTGTGAAGGCTGCAAAAGGATTAGAAAATGAAAAACAATCTAGTATTTTTACAATCCTCCCATAGTTAAAATTCAAGATTCTTCTCTAGGATATTTCCCCCCCCCCTTCAATATTTCAGACTCTATTTGGGAAGTGAGAATATGGTATAAAGCAGGGGTAGGCAACTTTGGCTCTTTTATGACTCGTGGACTTCAACTCCCAGAATTCCTGAGCCAGCATGGGGGAACTATGGCCCCCTCATGACTTTTGGACTTCAACTCCCAGAATCCCTGAGACAGTATGGCTCAGCTTGGAAACCTCTCCCTTTCCCCTCAGCATGGCTGGCTCAGGAATTCTGGGAGTTGAAGTCCACGAGTCATAAAAGAGCCAAGGTTGCCTACCCCTGCTATAGGGTCTCCTGCCTGAGCAAAGGGTTGGACTAAAAGACCTCCAAGGTCCCTCCCAACTCAATTATTCTGTTCTGTTCTGTTAAATATCAATGAGAGGCTAAGAGGCACCTGTCAATCATTGCCTTGCTACCCTGTATTGTAGGGAGTTGGTTCCCAGATAGATGGAGTTTTGAGAGACCATTTGCATAAACAAGCTCATGAAAACTTCCTGTTATTAGTCCCAAAGGTGCTTTTTCAAAAGGCAACTGGCCTGTCTTGTTTTTCTTTGAAGACCTTTCGCTTCTCATATAAGAAGCTTCTTCAGTTCTGATTGAAGCTTCTCATTTGGGAGGTGAAATGTCAAGGAAAAACAAACTAAGTTTGTTTTGGACAATCACTTAGATATGAGCCAGCAAGCGTGCTGCAGCTGCCAAAAAGGCCAACACAGTGCTAGGCTGCATTAACAGAGGGATAGAATAAAGATCACGTGAAGTATTAATACTACTTTACAAGGCTGTGGTTAGGCCACATTTGGAATACTGCATCTAGTTTTGGTCACCACGATGTAAAAAAAAAAGATGTTGAGACTCTAGAAAGAGTACAGAGAAGAGCAACAAAGATGATCAAGGGAATGGAGGCTAAAACATATAAGGAATGGTTGCTAGAATTGGGTAGGTCTAGTTTAACG